GACTTTAAACATTAATTCATGCTCTGACCCGATACCGGTCCTCTGCCGGGATCGGTATGGGATCAGAAGTGCAAAAAGCTGGATCGGGACAGCCTTGGTGTAGTGAACTAGGGCCCGTGCTTTGACTAAAAACCTCTGGATCCGAACGGGATCCGGCGCCCCCCACTGACCCGAGTACTGAAGCAGCGTGATCTCGTGGGACCCCGGGGAGCCCCCCCGAAACCCCCCGGCCCTCGGCCCCCCCCCCCCCCCCGCCCCGGGCCGGGACGCACCTGGGTGAAGATGAGGTGGTGGAAGGGGTGCGCGTCTCCCAGATATCTGCACAGGACCAGCCGCTCCCCCCTCTGGCACTCGGAGGTCCGGCTGATGGAGAACAGCGTGTGGGGAGTGGACGAACTGGCCTGCCAGGACACGAGATGGACGATGAGCCAGAGAAAGGAAAGGAGGACACAAAAGGAAAAGAGCTACGGGGGGCACAAGGTGGGATGAAGGGAGATTATGTTTGTTGTGGCCATTTAAGTTAACTTTTCGTCATTCACATGTTCTGTTTAATTTTAAATAGTTGAAACGTTTAGTTTGCACAGAACCATTTTGAATTTAATTGTTGGGATTTATTTAGTAATTTTCCAAGCTCCTCCCATTAATATGGAATACTTAAAACAGCCAGCGGTTGTGGTTTGGGGGGGAAAATGTCAGGTTAGATGACGGGAGGTTTGCCATTAAGATTTTTGGACCACGCCATACGCTACACGCTATACTTTTGTTTTACCTTTTGGATCACTTTTGTTACTTTTTGTTTGCAGCAGAGTGATAATGGAATTTTGTTTGTTATTTTCTTATAATTTTACAAAGTAATAAAGCAAGTGCGTCTAAATCAAAACACACCTGTTGCCACCGACGGCCTTTTTTTTTGGATTGAAAGAATTTGGTTAAGAAAAATTAAAAGGCCGTGACAATGTTCCACAAACACAAACTGTTAAGGATTTGACTTGTTGCTGTTCTCTGCACTGACAGGGTTTCGAAATTTGTGGGAATTTGGTATTAGCTACTTTTCAGAGTTGTTAGCCCTGACCAAAAGCAGCCAGCCAGATCGGTACGATTCTGTCAGGTGGGCTCAAGCATACTATATCCGAAAACATTAGACGGTTCTTTATCACACCCAAACTGAGAAGTAAATATAACTCTACCCCCCAACCCTGTTGGCAAAAATGTGAGGAGACGAATGTGAACCATGCACATATTTTTGGCTTTGCCCTGGTTTGGTTAAATTTCGGGATGATGTGCATTGTACAATTGTTGCAATACTTGGCTACCAGACACCCAAAACATTCACAGTGTTGTAGCTTGGAAATGTCCCGGGAAATATTGTGTTTAAATCTGACAGGTACCTGTTTAAAATCCTGATCGCTGCCAGTAAAAAAAACAATGACCAAGAAATGGTACAAAGAAGACCACCCTGACAAAGAGGACTGTCTGAAAATTGTTAAGGAAATATATGTCATGGAGGACATGACCCAGAGAATAGGAGTAAAGATGGACTCCATGTGGAAAAATGGACATGTGGATTACCTCCATTGCAGTGACTAATTGAACATATGGGGCATTGTTTACCAGTTTGAGTCATAACCCAATCCGGACAGTATAGAGTTTTGTTTATGTTGTGTGTTTGTTTTTTCCTCTCTTTTTTTCCTTTTCACACCTTGTAATTGTCAAAAAAACCAAAAAAGCATACTATATCCGAATCTTTTTTCGTAGCCTAGCGTCACGTCGCATCATATTTGGCAACCACCATGCAGAAAACGCTGTGGTCACTGTGCTATAATATAATATCATTAAAAACGTTTTCAGTTCCTCTCGCTTGGCGGTGCAACCACATCATGCCTCGAACGATATAAAAATATAAAAATTATGATCAACTGCAAGATAACATGGCAGGACGATGGATTTCAAACAAAAACCTTTTTTTGGGGTCGATTCACAGTTTATTTCGCATTTATTTGACATAAAAACTCAATTTGCCAACCCGTCCTGCCCCCCCCCAGGACTCACCCTCATGTCCGTGAGCTCCGCCCCCGTCCGGTCAGCGTACAGCATGACCCTCGGGTGGGCCGAGAACTCGCACCACCTCCAGGGCGACTTGGCGTTGAAGTACAGGTTGCCGGGCTCCGTCCGGACTCTCTGCGTGCTGCGGGGGGGAGGGGGGGGGGGCAGAGCACAGCCGTTACACCCGGACGACAGGGACCCAAAACCCCAAACCCGCGGGGGGGCCGGACCCCCGGACCCGCGTCCGGCACTGACCCCTTTCCGACCGTCCACAGGCTCGCCGCTCCGCTCTCGCTCGCCACCAGGACCTCCCCCAGGACGTGAGGGCTGCGGGGGCAAAGCAGAGGGGGGGGCGTAGATAGTTTTGAATGATTTAATTTCAAATAAGGACTTTTAATTAAAGCTTAAATAAATAGTTAACTGGGTGGATGCGACACCAGCATTATAACACCAGAATAAAGCCGTTTCCCCCCGTGGTGTACGCAGCCTGGCGTGTGTGTGTGTGTGCCCCCCCCCCCACCTGACGCAGACGCAGGAGGCCAGCTCCCGGCTGCGCAGTGCCTGCAGCAGACGCGGCCGCCCCCCGCCGCTCAGCCTCCAGGCGCCGCACAGGCGGTCCGAGCGCACGGCCACGCAACCTAGACACAGCAGGGCGGAGGCGTTTCACAGAGGACCCCGGCAGAGCGACCCCCCCATCCGCCCGCCCCCCGCCGCGTCCTTACACTCGCTGCCGAGCGAGGAGTGGCTGATTTGCCGGACGGGGGCCGTGAGCTGGAAGCTGACGGGCCGGCGGCCGCCCTCCAGGCAGGCGGAGCCCCCCCCCCCCCCCGGGCTGCTGCAGCGCCACCCGGGGGAAGTCTGAGACGCCTGCGTTAAGGACTGAAATCAGCAGCAGTTAAAAAGCACCCCGACGTCTTGTACAACCGATGTCGACCCTGTTTGTGTTTCTGCGTTTAACGCTTCTATCCAAAGCGACTTATAAAGGAGACACAACGTTCCAGTTATCAGAAGTTCTCAGTAAGAGTCAGTGGCAAAGTGACAGCAAAGAGATTGAGGGAAGCTCAGAAAGAGGAGTAGAGGCTCCAGAGGTCTGGGGAGGGGTTAGGATAGGAGCTGCAGAGGGGGGTCTGGGGGAGTTTATAAAGACAGACAGGGACCTGCTGCTCTGTAGCTCCTGGTAGGTCGTTCCTCCATCTTGGAACGACAGCTGAAAACTGTCTGGATTGTCTTAAGTGGAATTAGTTGGGCCAATTAGACTAATTGGTTGGGAATCAAAAAGTCCAGGGCTGGCCCACCCGCGGCTCTTAGGCTCATATCGTAGTTTAACTTCGCTTGAGTTCAATACAGTATTTTCGTCAAATGCGCATGCGATTTGAATTTTAAAAAAGTGGAAAAATGCACAGCAAGGACGTTTTTAAGTTGTATATTTTTTTTTACTTACTGGAAGCTACTCTGCCCCCCTAAGACCCCATAGTAAAAGGAAAAAAGCATTGTAACGTATTATATTATGGCTAAACTGAGAGTTTGTCTGTGTGGAATTGACTGGCCTGTGCTATTCGTAGTGTAAGAGCACAGGCTGTAAGGAGTCATTTTCATGTCGGTGTGTGACATTTACAGCAAATCTGGCTGAACAAAGGTGTGTGTGAGTGTGTGTGTGATGGGGCTGTTTGCGGTGACACGGTAAAAAAAACATGGCTCCTGGTCCCTGCCTGGTTGGCCACCCCCGAAACGGCCCAAAATGTTGGTGCAAGGACGTGTACATGTGAAGAAAAGAGGGTTGTCAAAAGTATCCCCCCACCCCCCCTTGCGCACCCCCCCTGCCGACGCAGCCCCCCCTTCTCTCTTAATTATTTACGTTGTTTATGATCATTAACGTGACGTTAGCCTTGAATTGCTAGCTGCGGCTACGCCAACATTAATGCGGGCCATCGGCCACAATAACATCTGTAACAGGTCAGTTTGAAACTAAAGACACTAACCTGTCGAAATTGAGTTAAATTTTGGGATTTTATCCTTGTGGTCTCAAAAATGGTATCGAGTATTTTCCTGAGTATCGGTATGGAGTTGAAAATGTTAGTATCGTGACAACCCTAGAGGAAACGCTGCAGACTTGTGAGTCTTTCGAGCGTGGTGCGGTCAGCAGGATACACAGGCGGTCCAGCCCCCGGCCCTGGGCGTAGAGGAGGCACCCGTGCTGGGCGTCCTGCGGGCGGGGGATGAACGCCAGGGCGCCGCCGGCGGGGGCGTGGCAGGGCCGGGCGCGCTCGCTCTGCTCCGCCAGCTCGCCGTGCAGCAGGGAGCCCAGCAGCTCCACCGGGACGTCCGGCACCACGCCGGACAGCAGGCCGCAGTAGCCGTCCATGACCGGGGAGGTGTAGGTGCTCTGGCACCTGGGGGGAGAACACAGGGCGGCGTCAGCCGGTGCCGTCCGAGGCTAAAGCTGGCTAAAGTTGGCTAAAGCTGGCTAAAGCTGGCTAAAGCTGGCTAAAGCTGGACAGAGCTGGCGGGTTAGGTGGCCTCACACGTTGAGCTTCAGCAGATCCAGGTGGTTTCTCACCCGCCACATGTTGACCGAGTGCCGGCGATGAACCTGAAAGAGAAGCGCGCCGCTGAGACCAGAGGAGAGCGGCCGGAGGGGAGCGGCCGGGGGGGAGCGGCCGGAGGGGAGCGGCCGGAGGGCTCACAGACACCATCGGCCTCCTTTTGAGGGTTACTCAACTCTAGGGTTGTCAAAAGTATCGATACTTAAACGTTGTATCCAGATACTACACTCATTTAGCAGTAGTATCGATACCCCCCCACCCCCCCCACTGCTACCACCAGTGGCACCTAAACAGTCACTCATAGAGTGCAGAATAGAGGAAAATGCACTTTCTGAACAGTGTGATTGAATCCTTCTGTGCAGTTTTCAGTTTCAGACTTTTTTTGTAACGGGTGCATTTGCTGAGAATACAGCATTTATTTTGGTTTGTTAACTGGTTTGGTTGGCGTCATTGTTATGTTTGTAATGCATAGCCAGGGAAGGAACACTATTTTTTTTATCAAGCTTGCTTAATATTGTGCACTGCATACGACCTCAAAATATTGTTCCTATAGGTCATTGTATTTATTTATTTATAAAAATATTTCTTTTGAATGTTGGGGTCTTTGTTTTTATCCTTGTCGTAACGAAAATGATATCGAGTATCGAATATTTTCCTGAGTATCGCTATGGTGTTGAAAATTTTTGTTTAGTGACAACCCTACTCAACTCAACTTAAACTTTATTTATAAAACACATTTAAAACAACCGGGGTTGACCAAAGTGATGTACAGATATCCCAGTTGCAGGAAATAGGGTAACAACTAAAAAGCTAAAATAAAATAAGTTAAAATTGAAATGAAAATGTAAATATTTTTTTTCGGCCAGATGTCCACTTACACTTGATTTAAAGCCAGGGAGAAGAGGTGTGTTTTTAGGGAGGATTTAAAAACCTCAAAATATCCTGCAGATGGAATGGGCAGGTTATTACTTTGGTTTAGAGTCTGGTTTTAGGCCAGTAGCAGCTGATTGGAGGATCTCAGTGTTCTGGCGGGGGCTCAGTCAGATACTGGGGGGCTAGGCCATTAAGAGCTTTAAAAACACACGATAACATTCTAAAATCTATTCTAAAAGCCACCGGGAGCCAGTGCAGAGAAGCTAGGACCACCAACATGTGGTCATGTTTACGTGTGCCGGTCAGCGGACGGGCAGCTGCATTACCTCACCTCCTTCTTCTTTCCAAATCTGAAGAAAAAGTGTTCCCCCAGAATCTCACTCATGCTCCCAAAGGCGTCTAGGTAGTGATCCGTGAAGAAGTTCTGCATCTGAACACAACAGGGCAATAGTCCCAGTCACACAGGGGTTAAAATCATACTGGACGATTAAAAATGTTTTTTTAATTTCTTTGTTTTTAAAAAGACATATTTCCTCACCTGTTCTACAAAGTCCAGTGGATCTGGTGGTTTCAAAGGCCCAAGGAAAGCTAGAATAAATAGTACGACATTTAAATGAGGTAACACATAAAAGACAAAAGATACAACACTAATTAGACAGGACACTGACACCCAGCCCGGCTCTCATAGTGGCCCAGCAGCTCGTGATTCAGAACGGCTCCGAGCCGGGGCTTAAAACACTGCAGCATTCCTACTGTCACAGAAGGAGAAACGGAAGGAACGCTGGCAGAAAAACTGCCATTGGTGGAAACAGGTCAAAGCAAGCAGCCAATGTTGTCTACCTGTGGTCGATTAAGTGAACAATGCAAAAAAAACTTTTTTAAACTAGGACAATCTAAATCACAAGGACAGGCTGCAGCTCCATCGCTGTCTTGCTAAGAAAAGCCTTCCATTTTTAACCAAAAAGCAAGAAGACTCTACTTTCTGAACATTATCTGTGATAAATACCCTATTCTGTGGAGCCGTGTGGGGCTGAACCGCGTACGGCTGAGTGGGCACTGCCAGAAAAGCGACGTAATAGACTTCCTGAGCTGATTCATGGTCAGAAAAGTTGGCATTTAAACCACATTGTATTGAGATTACCCAAACTATCCACCAACTGTCTGGATGACAGCTGTGTTTTGAGTTTATAGTCAGAATTATGGAGCTGTGATTGCTAAGTAATCTAAATCTACAGCGGATACAAAAGCGGTGAGGGGCGTTACCGGACTTTGGAGTCAGGAGCGGGACGGGTGCGGGTTCGGTGGGACACCAGGTCTCCCCGCTCACCTGATGCCTGGAAGTAAACTTCCAGCTGGGGGGAGGAGCAGAGCCATCCTGGAGCGACAAAACACATCACAAGCTAATCAAAGCTGGCAGATATGGACATTTTGAACATTTAAGAATACCCGTCATTCTATACACACACACACGTATGAAAAACGAGAGAAGAAAAGGCTCTGCTTATACTAATGATGAGAACAATTCCAAATGTAGATGCTACTCGTGCAAGAGTGTGCGTTTCCACTTTGGGAGTTTTTGTGTGATTGGAGTGGACAAACTGCTCGTTTTGTTCACAGTTTCCGTTCCATCCTGCTGCGTTTTGCCTCCTCTGGGGCAGGATGGTGGAGTCTGCGTTTTGAGGATGTAGAAGTTGAGTAAACCGCTCCTTCAGGAAAACTCAACAGAAAATATGCGACTTCTGTGATTAATCCATATCGTAAAGGACTAAACTTAAGCCAACTTCGTCCAAGCAGCAGGTTCAGTTTGGTACATCGTCACCATGAAGAACTAAATGACTACTTTTTAATATTGAAGTTAATACAACTTCACTCGTAATGGCAGATCGAACAGCGACTAATGCAAAAGGTTCTTTAGATGAAAGCTGCTTCATGTTCCAGAATATTCTCATTTTCTCACAATATCCCTTCTCTTCTTTTGTTTGTGCCTAGTGAACACAAATCTGACTGTTTTAATGCTGAGAAGTTAAGTTTTCTTCGAATGACAATTCTCTGGAAGACTCAGGCAGGTTTCTTTTAAAACTGCATCCGTGGTTAATCACTCCTCCTTTGATTTGGACCCATTTCTCAGGCCTTGCTGATGAAAACCAACATTACATCATCATGTTGCCACAGTGGGAATGGTGCTCGGATCTCGGAGGGCCTGCAGGTTTCAGGTATGTCCCTGTTTCAACACGCCGGATTCTGGCTGAATGGATCCATTCATGAGCGCTACAAAGGGCAGCGAACGTTGCATTGCTGTCAGTCAGGTGTATTGAAACAGGAAAGCATCTAAAACCAGCAGTGTGGTGCCCATGGAGGACTGGAGGGTGACACACGGCACTGGCTATCGTTTTTGAGTGTTTAACAATGGACAGCAGAGCTTTTCAACCATGTCCAGCCACCTTTGGCCTCTTTTATCCTCACCGCTTCAAGCCCATGATTAGGTTTAGTGTACTTTGTTTTCCCCACTTAAATGTATGGAGTAGACTGTACTCATTATTTGTAACTTAATTCAAATAATTTTCAATTTCTTTCTTTCTTTTTTTTTTTTGCAGGCCCCCGATCTTAATTTAGGTTTTTAAGAACAGAAGTGGGCATAACACACAATCACAAAACATGATGAGGTCCGGCTTAATCAGACAAAAAATATAAAATAAAGAGATGGACACTCTCAGAAGGCACTGATCATCATTCAGTCGACACTATTTACACGTTGAAAGAATAGATGTGTGCAAAATGATAGACAATGGATAAATATGCAAGAAAATATGCTCATGGCAAACAACTTTTATATTCCTAAACGTTATACGCGCAAATAGCAGGCAACAGATCTGATTTGATAGTATTTGAAGGCTTTTTATGGTAATGAGAGGGCTGGCCACCCACCTGAGGTATGACTCCGTCATAACAGCCCCAGCCTCCAGCGCGATGGTTCAGAACGTAGTCCGGTGGCCCGTGATTGAAAAACGAAGGGAAAAGTTGCCGAGGGAAGTGATAGTCCATTTTAGTCGTCCTTAGCCTATTGTGACACGCGCCAGAATCTCAACTAAGTCTAACTGTCCATTAACCGTGCGCGTGGAAACAAGTCTGGGCATGTTCCACATGTCCACTGACGTTAGCTGCTGTCACACCACATCTGCTAGCTAACATAACCAGAAACTACTTTCCACCGAGAAAAACATCGTAACGCTTGTTTGGCATATTACATATGCATTCGCCCAAATAGTCTCTGCTATGGTCCATTGAAAAAGTAAGAAACATCTTCTGAAGCCTTCAGTGAGACGTCACACACGTGTGCTGTTGCCTTCAGTAAACGGAAGTCTCGCCACAAAACATAACAACTTCCGGTTTTCTTCTTCTTCTCTCCTTGCATGGTCACGGTCAGATCTTTCGAACTACTTGCGTTTCAGAAAGAATTCTAACATACTAAAAATGAAATTACAATAAATTATACAAAGCTTCTGCTTTAGCTTAGTGAGTGGTTAAAAATGCCATGACGGCGGCAGACATAATCAAAACAAATACATTCCACAAAGACCGAATTAAGGTAAAGACGTGAATAATATGAGTACCCAAACTTACAAATAATTCGTTTGACACAACTTATTAGTAGTATAAATTAGAATATCTGTTAATAACATCAGTTGAATTCGTAGAATTAGATATAATTATCTTTTGTTCAGTGTTTGTGTTTAAACTACTCGTTGGTGCATTTGTCTCGTGAAAGGGCCAGTGGACGTCCTGACGCTTCCAAGGCTTTTTTTTTTTAACCGGATGTGGCTGTCATCTGTAGTATAATCAGCTGACCTAACTTGGCTTGGTTTGTCGTAAGGACTAGCAAGCGAGAGAAGCCGGGGGAAAATCTTATTCGGGTTTCAGTCCGCAGCAGGAGGAAACGTTTATCGGTAACCGGTTTGTCTGGAGGAGATGTTCCAGTAGGACTGCTGTCTCTGGTAGGTCTGAACAGTTTTCCCCACAGTGTTTTGGTTCCGATAGCGTGTTGCTAAACCGGAAGTCTGTATTGCAGGTGTAGTTTAGCTTTAGCGCGTCACAGATCACTACACAGCTAATCTGCCCTCCAAACTCCCATTATCAGTGACAGATACATGTGGAGTTATGCACCCACAGTAGTCATCACGGCTTTGTTTACCACTCTTGGCCTGATCATTATTATTATCATCGTTTTTAACCCCTGACACTGAATTGATTTGGCCTGTTTTTCAGACGAGACTAAGAATGATTTTTACTCCGGGACAGCACCAAGGTTACTGTTTTAGATGTGGCACGGAACCAGACAGCTGTTTAATTCTCCTGAAAGTGTGCGCAGTGTGATGCTCGTTCGTATTGCTGCTGTCTCTGCGCATGCCACTGCCTCGTGACTTATTGATGATGCATTTGTGCCAGAATTGATCAATGACACTATCTTTTGCGATAAGTAGCTCAGCATCCGAGCCAGTGGGATGACTGGTTATACTGGGTTTGAGTTCCGTTCGCACCATGGCAGATATAATGGTTAACATAAAACGTCAGTATGCTAATGTTAGCATTATCAAGTCCTGGCTGTGGAAAACCTCTAATGGCTACAATTTTATTAATCCAGTCAAACGAGAGCACAGATATACTAAAGTCCATATTATTCCCTGTTTCCACTTTTGAATTTTTATGGCAAATATCTTGTAAAGCTATTTTTTGTGAGCACGTTTACAACTTCTCGCGAGATAATTCCTGCGACTGAAATGGAATAAAAGCAAGCTTCCTCTCGATTCAGGCACAAAAAGGTGTTATAAAATCCCACCAGAGAGGCCTTAATGCCAGGAACAGGCCTGCACTTGGAGATATTTTTAAGGAGGAGGATGCGATCAGAGTTTGATCTCTTTCTGTGTGTGCAGAGCTGAAGTAAAAGTACAATTGTCCAGGTTTAACTTAAAAGACTGGATGTACTGTTAAAGATATTACAAGCTATATTACAAGAATCCTTCCCTGTACTCTCCTGAAGATCACTTTAAAACATGCTGTTCCTTGTGTGCATAATATGTGAACAAACGGATAATGTTATGATAAATGAGTAGCAACTCCAGAGTACCTGACGTTTAAAAAGAATATGGGTGTTTGTGAACATTTTTGGCACATTTGTTCCTATGGTAACCTCACTATATAGTTAATCCAAATTAAAAGGCGTAACTTCCTAAAATTGGCAGCACGGTGGTGTAGCGGTTAGCACCATGGCCTCACAGCCAGAGGGTTCTAGTCCCCGGGGGAACCAGAACCAGAGGGTTCTGGGTTCCAGTCCCCGGGGGAACCAGAACCTTTCTGGGTGGAGTCTGCATGTTCTCCTGTGTCTGTGGGTTCTCTTCTCCCACCGTCCAAAAACCTGCATGTTAGGTTGGTTGGACTCCAAACTGCCCTTAGTGTGAGTGTGAGTTGTTGTTGTTCCTTGTGTGTCTCTGTGCGTCCCTGTGATGGACTGGGGGGCCATCCAGGGTGACCCCGCCTCTCCCCATTGACCACAGGGATAGGCTCCAGCTCCCCCCCCTGCGACCCCATTAGGGAATAAGCGGTGACGATAATGAATGGATGGATGGATTTTCCTGTAACCACCCAGGACTATCCCCACTCAGATGTGTGCACATTGTTTTGTGATCAGGAGCTCCTGTCTTTTTCTTCAGACAACTCGCCGTAATGTCGGGGAACAACCTGGTCCTGCCCATCGTGCTGTGGAGCCGCACGGCTCCCACCCACTGCATCAGCAGCCTGCTGGTGATGGACGACTTCAGCACCATCATCACCGGCTGCCACGACGGACAGATCTGTCTGTGGGACATGACCCCCGAGCTGGAGGTACACGGGAGGGCCGGCGGGGGGGGGATTGTGCGCACCCGTGCTCGTCAGCTACCTCCGACGACTGCAGCTGCTCTCTCTCTCTCTCTTCCCTGCTCAGATTTGCCCCAGAGCAATGCTGTTTGGCCACACGGCCTCCATCACCTGTCTGTCTAAAGCCAGCGCCAGCAGCGACAAGCAGTACATGGTCAGCGCCTCCGAGAGTGGGTGAGTAGTTTTTACTTATTTATTTATTCCATCAGCAAATAAACATTCAAGCCTCTGTGCTTCTCTGGTTAGATTCTCGTTGCTCCCCTTGAGTTACAGCCATTCTGAACTCTGGTTTTCCCTGACCAGTACCGGTGAAATGCTCTCAGCTTCTTATCTGGTGGGGCTGAAAGTGGCTAAAGAAGCCTGTTAACAGATTACAGCTTTGGATGGTCCTTTTTTTTCGTGCCTGCATTCACTGATTAGCGAGAGATTTTTGTCCAAAGTCACTAAAAAGGAAGACAGAAAGACTGACTCCAAGGCTGAAAGCTGCCATAATTATACCACTCTTTACCATACCACTTAATTTATAAAGCAATTTATAAACAACAATGTGCTGTACAGTAAAATGTTGAATTAATGGAAGACAGCATAAGTATAACAAATGACAAATACAAGAAAAATCCAAGAAAACTACTGATTTAAAGAAAAACAATTACATGAATAAAGTCACAGGAAGTTAAATTTGATATATTTGATATAAGTGATGGCTCATATTGATGTTCTGACAAATAAAATAGGAGATCATTGAAAATAAACGAATACATAAAAGGATCTACATATCAGTTAGAATTTTAACTGGAAGCCAGTTAAGCTAAAACTGGAGCAACATGCTCTCTATATTCCCTCTACCTAATTAAATCGGGCCTGGCTGATCCCACTTTAGCAATCAAGTGAAGAAGTTTTAAAAGCATGGATCATCTCATATATTCTTTTTTTCTTGTTAGAATTAGCCTCAGCTGAAATAAGCAGGATTTTACCAGAGAGTTAACATGGCTGTCAAGTTAAAAACAGGCATCTATTTGATCTATTCTCTCAGTTTTAACACCCACATTTGAAATCAAGCATTTTCCATCCTGTGCCAGACAGAAAGGGGTTATGTCAGGGGCTGTCTGGTGTTATGAGGTGTGAGCAGCATGACTTCTGTTTTTCTCTCAGTAGAATTCTAGAAATGTACTTGAGGGTTCATTGAATGTTGTAAGACCTACTTGTGGTGCAGTGATACTGATAGGTGTTTGTTTCTGGTTCTCTTTCCCAGTTATAGCCTGGTTTATCTTTTGAGATTCCTTTTGTCTTGCGTCATAGTGTTTTTTCTTGTTGACACTGGAAGATGAAGCTCTGTCCACATTTGCGATTGGCCATCTGGTGCTAAAACTGCCCCCTTTGTGGGAGCCCATGAGATCAGAACGTGTGAACAAAGTCAAGAAAAGAGAATGAAAATCCAATTTTCTGTCAAAGAAGTATTTGTGGAGAAATTGATAAAAAAAAAAAAAATGCTTGCTACATTAATAGTGTAGAACGCCCATAATCCTTTATAAAAAATCAAATTTTCATTAATTCAATCTTCTTATTTACAAATTCACTTCCAAATCTGTGCTTGATCCAAAATCAAAGATATAAAACACCCCCACTGACAGCAAAGCTACTAACAGAACTGATATGTGTGTGTATATATTTTTTTAGATAAAAATGTGTAGAAAAATTGGCCTAGCTGCGTGTTTCTATTTCCAGGGAGATGTGTCTGTGGGATGTGAACGATGGACGCTGCATTGAGTTCACAAAGTTAGCCTGTGCCCACACCGGCATACGGGTAAGACATAACTCTACTCATCTATTGGTCTCTGTCTGTGTGTTTGATGTTTCTATCAGATTGAAATACTTAATCTGTAACAAACTAATAAAGAATGAAAAAATAGATGATATCCCAATTATGGATGAAGTCAGAATTAAAAGGACACATTTGAACTTTTGAAAAGCCCATAAACAACAACCAGTTCCCTAAAGTGGTTTCTTAAAATGGCCCCTGTTACGAAACATGAGAATTTTAGATTTTACAAAATAACTCCACTGCTTTCTTTCGGATTCACACATCATGAATCTTACTTGAAAGGAAAATACTCCTCTATTAGCATCTCTAAAAGGCAGGAATAACATTTGAGTAACCTCTTCTGTTCAGCCACTGACTTAAATATTTTTATGATGAAAACCAGTTCCATTGTCATTCTTTTTCAAAGAATTTGGTAAATTCTTGCCAATTCACAAATTTATCCATCCTGATAAATAAAAAAAATCAAGGACACGTTCAGGCTAATTTGGACCTTTTATAGCCTCTTTATGATAATTTGAGTAGCTTTAACAGCCTTTTTATCCTTTGTTTTTCAAACCGGACTGTCTGATACTGACTGTCCCATCCCTGTCTTTCCTTCAGTTCTATCAGTTTACAATTGGCACTCAGAAGGAGGGACGCCTGCTTTGCAATGGTCACTATCCTGAGATTCTTGTGGTGGACGCCACCAGCCTGGAGGTGCTGTACTCGCTGGTTTCTAAGATTTCTCCCGACTGGATCAGCTCCATGAGCATCATCCGATCCCATCGAACACAAGGTGAGAGGCCTTTGTTCAGGTGCGATGAATTATATGATTATTTTTAAAATAATTATTTTTACCTTAGTAATACAGCCCAGATCAAACATAAGGCTGAGGGACACTGTAACGTGTAAATATGCTCAACAGATTTGATCTGAGCAGCTGTTACAAAAACTCATTTAATTTCTTTTCCCAAAGACCTGTTTAAAATGAAAATAAGTGGTTCTTTATTTGATAAATGATGACCTGAAATGGCTAAATGTTCCTCACATGAGAATCCTTATATATCTGCTTTAGGTAACTTTTGTTTGCTGCCTCTTTGATGGCTCATCCAGCATCATGAGGAGCTTTAATTCTCACTCTTTTATTTGCCGGAGCTCTCAGTTTTTTCTATTTATTTTTTTAACCAATTTGAATGAATTACGATTTCAGACCAAATTTTTTAAATGTCCAATTTTCAGCCGACTCGCTGGTCAGAACTGCATCGAGTAGAAAAAAGACACAAAGAAGAAACAAGAAAAGTTACTTTAGTTTTATGTGTAAAACTGTGTGTTTGTGAGGTTTTAATGAGCTGTGTCCCTGCAGAGGACACGGTGGTGGCGGTTTCGGTGACGGGCATTTTGAAGGTCTGGATCATAACTGCTGAGGTCAGCAAAATGCAGGTAAACCCTTCCATCTTTTTGTTTATTGGAAAAAAAAAAAGAGTGCTTGGGCTGAGTAGCCTGTTATTGTGCTGTTTGTGATGGTCGCCTTTGCAGGACATGTGACTTTAATGGTCCCCAGTTTAAATTAAGTCCTAACAGTCGGACATCAGGGTTCACTGGGAAACTGTGTGTGTGTGTGTGTGTGTGTGTGTGTGTGTGTCCACAGGACCTGGACCCTGTGTTTGAAGAGGAGTCCAAACCCATCTACTGTCAGGGCTGTCAGAGCATTTCCTTCTGCAGCTTCACCCAGAGGAGTCTGCTGGTGGTCTGCTCCAAGTACTGGAGGGTAGGGCTGGTTCTCGACACGCGGCTTAGATCAGGCCGCCGGTCAGAGCTGACCGCTGCCCTCCTGTGTGTCCCAAGGTGTTCGACGCTGGGGACTACTCGCTGCTGTGCTCGGTGCCCAGCGAGAGTGACCAGTCCTGGACCGGAGGCGAGTTCATCGCCGCAGACAAAGTCATCATCTGGACGGAGGATGGCTCCAGCTACGTGTACAAGCTTCCAGCCAGGTAAGCTCCACCCGCCGGGATCAGCCCCACCCACCTGGCTAAGCACCACCGGTTGGACTAAGCGGCCCCGTAGCGGGGCTAAGCGGCACCCAGTGGGGATAAGGGCCACCCACTGGGGCTAAGCTCCACCTGCCGGGTAAGCGTCACCCACTGGGGCTAAGCTCCACCGGCCCGGGTAAGCGCCACCCGCCAGGCTAAGCTCCACCTGCCGGGTAAGCGCCACCCACTGGGGCTAAGCTCCACCAACTGGGGCTAAGCGCCACCCACTGGGGCTAAGCCCCACCCGCCGGGCTAAGCTCCACCCGCCGGGCTAGGCGCCACTCAGCAGGTTAAGCGCCACCCTCTTGGCACAACCCGCCATGGGCTAAGCGGCACACGCCGGGCTAAGCTCCACCCGCCGGGCTAAGCTCCACCTGCCGGGCTAAGCTCCACCCGCCAGGGCTAAGCGCCACCTGCCGGGCGCAACCCACTGGGGCTAAGTGCCACCCAGCGAGGCCAAGTGCCAACCGCCGGGCGTCACCCGCCCAGCTAAGCGCCACCCGCTGGGTTTAGCGCCGTCTAGCTGGGATAAGCGCCACCCGCCGGGCTAAGCTCCACCCGCTGGGTAAGCGCCAGGAAGTGGGGCTAAGCGCCAGCCGCTGGGTAAGCGCCAGCCAGCGGGGCTAACAGCCACCCACCGGGCTAAGCACCACCCGCCAGGCTAAGCTCCACCCACCTGGCTAAGCGCCACCGGTTGGACTAAGTGGCCCCTAGCGGGGCTAAGCGGCACCCAGCGGGGCTAAGGGCCACCCACTGGGGCTAAGCGCCATCCACTGGGGCTAAGCTCCACCTGTCGGGTAAGCGCCACCCACTGGGGCTAAGCGCCACCCACTGGGGCTAAGCGCCACCCACTGGGGCTAAGCTCCACCGGCCCGGGTAAGCGCCACCCGCCAGGCTAAACTCCACCTGCTGGGCTAAGCGGCTCCCAGTGGGGCTAAGCACCACCCGCCGGGCTAACCACCGGGCTAAGCTCCACCCACCTGGCCCCGCCCCGTCCCAGTCGTCTCAGAGCTGCTGTCCTCTCTCCTCAGCTGCGTGTCGGCCAGCGAGCACTACCGCAGCGACGTGGGGAAAACCAAAGAAGGCTCCATCCCCCCGCTGATCTACCGACTGGCCGAGCATTCAGACAAACAGGTGGGTGTCCCTCTCTGGGGGGGGGGGGTCATGGTCCACATAGAAAACAGTACAGACTGATGTTCCTGTCCTGAACCGAGCTGCTCCGTTTACCTTACAACAACAAACACATTCTCTTCTTAGCCGGTTAAATGTTCGATGGTTTTTGCTTTAACACAACCAGCTGTGGTTTAAAAAAATAAATAAAAAAGATAAAACACTGCTGCTTAAAGCCGATTCCATAAAATGATTTTAAGGCGCGTTCGGGTCTGATCTCACCTTTGTTCGCCCATGCAAAGAAAGGCTTAAAAGGTAAAAACTACGGAGTGGAATCCCACTGTTTGGGTGGAAATGGGCCGATTTAAAACTGCTCAGACCTCAGCGAATAAGAACCTCCCTGCCAGATCCTGCAGCTTTATCTGTGTCAGCGTGTGGAGGTGTACTGTGTTATTGTCGTACCTGTTGTGTGTCTTTTTTTTTTTTCTTCCTTTTTTAGGATTGCTTGTATTGTTTGATTTTTAGTTTCTAAATGTAAGATATCACTTCAGACACATGGATCAGACCCGCAGGTAGGAGTGTTTAGTCTAATTATACAGATCTATCAGACCACCTGCAGGAAAAACATTTTTTTTTTTTAATCTTAGAAATCTTTCAAACACTAGTTTAAAATTGAATATCTTTGTTATTTATTTGGTATACATATGAATACAGTGAAACATAATTAATCCTTTGCATACATAATAATCTTTAAACATTATATTCTGCATGGTCTCTCTGACAGTTTCTCTGGTTATTTAGCCCCACAGAGTTTCCAGGTGTTCACCTGTAAAGGTTAAAGTTCCTGAAATTTCTCCCTCTACGTCTGTTCATCATTAGAGACAAATTTGTGAAACACTTTCCTTTAAAAACAGGCCTTTATGGTATTATTTATATATTCTGAAAATAACTAGAAAGAATCAAATTAATGTAGGATTTACTTTTACTGAATTTGAAAAATCGCCCGATGAAGGCAACATTTAAAAACTTTTGTATTAAATACAATTTGAGTTTATTTCAATGTTTTTATGGAATTCTTGATTAATTTAGGTGCAGAAAACAAATAGAAGAGAAGAATACTTTTCACTTTGAAAAAGACAATACTTCCTTTTGAAACCTCAATAATAAAGTAAAACTCTCCATTAACAGGTTTAGAATACAAAGTATTTTTTTTTCTGATTAAATAAATCCAGCAAAGTGGTTCTTGTAAAATATTTATGAAGTTTTGTAATAAAAGTTAAACATAGTTTTAAGAGTGGTGAGGAAAAACCTGCACAATAAAAAGGACATAACAGGAAAAATAATGTAGTATTTATTGATGTTTCTATTGTTACTAGAGGGCCAAGTCTTCTGTCTTAAAGTGAGTTTTTTTGCTCAAGGCTAAAGAGAGCCTAGTTATCAGTATAGTTAGTGTTTGTACTACTTATCTCAGGTAAAACCATCTAAATCATCAGGCTGAATCCATGTGTGTGAACCTGAGCCTTTTTGTGTCGTCAGAGCTTTTGGTTTCTTGTCATTAGTGTTGTATATTTATCTCAGAATGTCCTGTGTGTCTATTAATTTTTTGTCTGTGCCTTTTTTTGTGTTATTTTTGCTCCTCCTTATATTGTTCTGTCCCCTAATCGCTGCCGCGCCCCCCCCCCCTTCCTCCTTTGCCCACCTCGCTTCTCTCAGAAGGAAGTCGGGGGAGGTGAGGAGGAGGAGGATGTGGCTGTGGAGGTGCTATGCCTCCCTGCCAGCGGGTACGACTTGGAGCTCTACACCCCTGAGCATCTTTATCGACATCGGCCTATAGAGGCTCCTGTAAGCCCCAGAAAAAACGCTTTTTGAAAGCCGCGGGTGGGAAGAAGAAGGGCTCACGGTCTGGGCTGAGCTGCTTAAACTACAGTCCTAATTTGTGTATTTAAAAAAAAAAAAAAAAAAAAAGTATTATTTTAAAAACAAAAAATTGGTTGGTGCAATCCAAAAATAAGATATAAAGCCAAAGTTTAAATACTGAAGTTAAAATTGGATCTTCTGCTCCATCAAAACAGAATTAGAATTTAAAGGACCATATCAGAGGCTTAGCAATTTTGTTTTTTGGTTAAAAACAGTCTAGTTCTTAGGTAACTGCTGGATCCCATAGTCTTATCACAGATTATAATGGAAAAATGAATCCAAACGCTCTACGCGGCTAACAAGAAGATCACATGACGAATAAATTGAATTAGAATGGCTGCTGATGCTAGTGCCCCTAAAATGTTTAAATTAATTGATGTATTTTAAAGGCCTTTGCCTACATATATATAAAGTGTTGGTGTAGAACTAGAAGGGTAAAGGACAGTCATCCTCTCTAAATAAGCATTCATGTGCAGACTGATGCAAAATAGCTTATTTGAAACTTTTACATTGTTGGGAAAATGCAGCGATGTCATGATTTGCTTCCACAACTTAGAAACCTGTGTTTTGAGCCCAGCAGCAGGCACTGCAGTTGGAAATCAAATTAAATCAAATTTAGTTCAAATTATAAAACAAGTGAGAAAAAACATTCCCAGCTACACTGTGATTGATTAGGAAATGATATGCGGTAAAAGGCCTCATTACTGGAGTTTTGTACCACTTTTAATGCCAAATGTGTCATATATAATACATAGATATCTGGGACCTACTGCATCACAAATATAGTTTATAACGAAACCATGTTGAATATATCAATTCCCTTTTTTTTAAGTCATTGTAAAAACCTCAAGAAAAATTTAGCAAATTTGTTAAACGAAGCAAAGTATTTGCACATTATTTATTCTTTTTTCCCCCACATTGTTCAAAAGAATCAGACATACTTCTCATGAATTAAATTAGATTGTTCAGTCCGTTAATTATTGGGTCGGGTACTATAATGAATGAATGAATTTCCTCTTAATATTTATTTAGTTTTACCATAACAATGAATTCACAGCTCTGTATCAGTTCGAGATGCTGTGAGGGTACTGATTTGTTTCAGTATATATCTAAAATGAGCTCTATCTCCATGGCCTCCGAGGGTGGTGGAGATATTCTGACCTCTGTTTATGTAACAGGATGATTACAACTGCATCCACCATCTGGGCTCCATATACTTCTGCACTAGTGAGCCAGTCATTCAAATACAGGAACTGTGATATGGTCCTTTTTAAAAAAAGAAAAGTATCATTTAGCAGCGAACTGCATTTCAGAAATTCTGGTGGAGACAGATGTGTCCGGATAGCCTCTGACGGATTTCACGCTGCAGCTCAGCCTGAACGTGACGGCTAAGAGAGCGGAGCAAACTGTGTGACCTGCGGTAGGAACAGCAGCATCCGCTCAGCGGCTCACAGTCCCTCCTCCTCACCCCCAAAGGGGAGGACAGGCCACCCACACCACCAGCAGGGCACGCTCTAGAGGGAGAGGAGGGCTGTAGCCACCATTACTGCATTTAAACATGCTATAGGTCAACTCTAATGTACATAACTATACATCTAACAGTCAGAATCATCATTATTCAAATTAATTTCACAGGTTTGACTTTATTTGTTAATGGAAGCTGGACAAATTAGAAATAATTAGAAATAACAAAAGATGATTTAGAATATGAAAAAAGCTGCACATTATTGAATTGAATCGAATTGAATTGAATATACTTTATTGATCTCCAGGGAGAAATTGACTTCCAGTACAGCCCGTACCAAGATCAAGCAAACAACACACATAGACACACCAGTTCGGGGTATCAGTGCGTTCCAAAAAGCAAAAGGTGGAGTGTGAGTCGCTGAGCCGATGGCGACCAGAATGAAGTGGCTGTTGAGTTTGCTCCCCTCGTGTTCCCGCCCGCCCGCCTGAACAGACTGACCTCACTCCGGTTTCACGCTGCCTTCCCACTAAAAAGCAAATCTCCTCCTCCGAAAAAAGCACCATCACCCTCCTCATCCGTCCTCATCCCGATGAGGAAGCATGCAAAGTCCCAGCGGCTGCTTTCTAACCGCCCAGCCGCCCGCCCGGTCCCACAGCGCAGCCCAAAGCGCACACACAGTCTAACTGCCACCCAAAAACATGCTCACCCGTCTCATTTTAAAGGCGCGAAGAAGCAGATGAGTAGAAGGAATTTTAGAAAGGAAAGAAATCACACGTTTTATGCGATCTAACTCATTTGCATGTGAAAATTCACCTGCTTTCAAAACCAAAGATTTATGTATACAGATTTATATTTAGAATTAATTTCTTTAAATGAGGCAAGCGTGTCATTATTTATTGAACAAAAATCCAGCAGAATAGTCAAAGTGGATTAATAACTAAATAACATAATTTAAGAGAACCCCTGATGCAACAACATTTGTAAAAACATGTTAAAACATTGCCCTGGACCACTGAATTATACACACATGCTCTGTATGAGCAGGTCTCTTCTCCTCTGGGGTTTGATGGAATGCTCCCTCCTCTTGATTCTTTTCTTCCTGAGGCCTCTCGTTGCAGACGGGCTGCTGTGTTTGGGCTCATTGTCCCGTCGATGACCCAGATTCTGCCAAGCTTCAGCTGTCAGGCACATGGCCTCTGAATTCTTTTATGTTGGAGAATGATTTCATAATTGCCTCATTGAGGTTTTTCTAAGCACAAGACAATCCAACTTTGAACAGAACTTGCTGGGATGTTAACTTTCTGGGAGATTGGGGGCTCTTAAATCTTAAAAGTACCCACGTTTGAATGAGTAGCAAAGGATGGCGCTTGCTTTCAGATTTCTGCTGTATTTTTTGTTAAATTAACAATGACACGATTCATCTGAGGTTATTTTTTCAAATCACACCTTACAAACGAAAATGGGCATAGTTTATTTTTCACATGACAGAATATGAATATTAAACACAGTCACAGTGGTACAACTTTATCTATTTTATTGGAAACAGGTAAGATACAAAGACAATTCTTTAAGTCTGGTTTCTTCCTATTTTAAAGTCCTGTTTTCTCTAAACTTAACTTTCACATACAGAAGTGGTTTTGTGTGTGTGTGTGTGTGTGTGTTTGAGAGTCATTTGAAATCAGGGGGCACTTTGCATACCATCTCCGCTCACCGACTCCGTCCCGATGAGCTGAACTAACAAACTGTTCTGCATTTGCCACAGTCATGCCCTGCCTCAGTACCTATCTTTCCAAGTTGCCATGGTTACGTAAGACCCTTCCTTAACGCACCTGCAGGCTCACTAGCTTTCATCCCATAACTGTGATGGATCATCACAACCTTCCACCCTCGAGCAGCTTAGGAAAATGGCCGTACTCACAAGAACTGATGGAAAGTCTCTGTTGATTAACCTGTCTGTTTATTTCTTATGTTGTGTACTGTTGTTTTTTTTGGTTGTTTTTTAAATTATTGGTCTAGCAATATTTGATCCATTAAGCTAGAGGTCTTTTTATTAGTTACTTGGTTTTAGCTCGGTGGGATGATCCAGCTGCCGTTTCTTTTTGCAAATCCGGAAAGAAAGAGAAACCCCACCCTGAAACAGAAATTCCAAACTGATACTAGTGTTTTAGCTACACAGCTCTGCAGAAACTAAGTACACATCACCTGGGCATTCCCAGTTTTGCAGGTACTTCCTCCACCTGTTTGCTGCAGGAAGGCTGAAGCAGCCTCTGGCTGAACACTCCTCACTGTTTGACCACTTTGTAGCTCTGGCCATTATGTCGGTTCACTTCACAGTAAGCTTTAGGATCTCAAGAACCAAAAAAAAGCGCAATGAGTTTTGACACAGAAGAAGAAGACGTTTGTTTTAGTGTCCTGCTTGTTTTGGTGTAGAATTCAAGACGTGGAAGACTTTTATTTTATTCGGTGGACAGCTTAAATGGAAACCTATCAAGGAAAAATCCCCCCAAAAATGAGTGTTTTTAGCAATATGAATACATGATCAGGAATCAACATAATTTTAGGATTGTAGAACCAGTTTTCAAACTGTACATGTGATTTGTGAGTAGCAGTCAACAGTCAAAAGGGTGTTTTCTATTGAAAAAGCTTTAATCTATAAGAAAAGCCATGCTTTACCTCATTGTGCTGGTCTCCATAATCATATGCATGAATTAGTTTAGAGCTCCAGTTAAGTTTACATCAAAATACAGATTTAGGATGTTTAGTTCTGCTTTTGGGTACATTTTCTATATTTGGTTTCCCTGAGATCTACACCATTACTCAACAATAGGGTTGGAAATGGAAACGTTTTAGAGCTCAAGCAGCATTTCTCTCAGCTGAGAAACAGGAAAATCCTCAGTTTCTGGTGACTTTCAGATAAATCAGCCAGGTCTTGCTATTTCTTTATTTTCTTGGTCCCAGCGGTCGGTGAGTTCTCTGCCTCTTGTTTAAGCCCATCTGGCTCTCATGGATCCAGAGCGATAGATCTGAGCCACCTGTGCATATCTATGGCTCTTGATTTTGTCCATGATTTCCATCAGTGGACAAACGATCAGCTCAAACAAACAGAGGCAAACTCATCCATGACTGGACATCTACATGTTTCCTCCCGATGACAGCTGAGAGACAAATCTTATGGAGGTCATGTGACATGTTGTCCTTTTGACCACACTATTTAGAGGATTTAATGACTTCAGCTTTACTTTATGATGAAGAAATAGAATATTGACTGAATATATCTATATCTGACACTTTACAGAAAATTCAAATGAACCAATAAGTGAATACAGGAAGTGAAGTTCTAGAGGAAGTTCTCTAGATTCTTTGGGTTTCCATAGTTTTCACACCCACTCAAATAACGAATGGGATTTGGGTTTGACCCGTACAATGTCCGGTTTAGAACAACATTGGACATGTCACATGACCTTCGTCCTTTCAGAACCGCCGGGGTGTCAGAAAGTGGTTGCTCCTGCGAGAGTCCAGGCTTTATGTAGGCGTGCAGGGGTTTCCCTCCCATCCAGGGAAGGCCACATAGGGAGGTGGAGTTGTGGGGAATCAGAAGTGTGTGCGGTTGTGCCGTCCCGCGGTTTGCTGTGTGTTGGTGCAGTTTGTTTTGGGGACAACCAACACATTTCCGTTTCACCCGACTCGGATGCATCAAGTTGAAAATGCTCAGATCATTTCTTTTTCTTTTTCCTACGTTGTTTTCAATGCTGTGAGGGGGGGAGGGCTGGGGCTTCGGGTTTTCAGGCCGTGACATGTCTTCTCTTTATCCCGACCACCTCCAGCTCCTGATCTGTCCTCCCGTAACTCGATTCTTTTTCGGCCGACGGGAGCCCTTCCACAAGCTGCTCATCCAGGGAGACTCAGCGGGGAGGCTGTCTGTTTGGAGTATTCCAGAGTCCTCCCCTCAGCAGCTGCCCGCTCCGTCTACAGGTGCTCTTCAAAAATGCAATGATCTAACAGCACTTTTGACCACAACTATTTGTCATTTACTAAGCGGAAAGCAGCATGTGTGAATGGAAACAAAATTGTTTTTTTTTATATCAAACATTATGCAGTATAATGAAAAACCAAGTGAAACAACAGAGGGAATGTCAGTCTTCAGTTATAGATGCTTTCCAGTCATTTTTGAACTCTATTTGATCCTGTGGTTGTTTTTCAGTGCGTCCAGTCAGTTTTCCAGTTAGTAACAGAGTTCAGCATCTGGTTTTGGATGTAGAATGAGTGACATCTAGTGGCAAAATGTGTGCTAGTTGCGAGTTACTGCTACAGATCCAGGATTAGGATTATGATATTTTTCTTTTCTATGGCTAAATAATGATTTTTCTATATGTGATGTATCCTTTGTTGGATCAAATATCCTAATTTATTTCAAGTCATATATTTTGATCTGATCCCAAATTGTGTATCTACTTGAAGAATGAGTGAGCAAAACATTGTTTAGTGATTCTAGAATGAAAAAGCTTAGGTGTTTTTTTCTGTTTGAATCTTAATTTTGAAAGTTCTTTTTCAAGATTTTGCATTTAGCCAGCACACTCTTAAGATCCTGAGAGGCAAAAAGGTAAGTATGCAGGCTGGGCTATGAGAAAATACAGCCTCAGTAGATTTTCCTTAGACTGACCTGTTCATGGACGTGGACTCCACGGTTTCCATCTGAACTGGTCTCTGGTCTGCCTTTCTCTGCGTGCAGAACTGCAGGTGTCCTCCACCGTCAGCCTTCAGGAGGCATTTGACAAGCTGATCCCCACGTCTGCCGGCATCATCGACCAGCTCAGCGTTCTGCCAGGCAAAGAGGAACCCGTTAAGGTTAGGACCCAGTCACATTTTTTAGTCAGATAAACAAAGGAGATCTTTGACAAATAAGGATGTCGGCCAGTTCTATTTGGATTTTTAACATACTGTCAATGTAAAGAAATGATTGGAAAAAGTATTTTTGGTCCCAGATTGTCCGCTTTTGTTATGTTCCTGAAACGAGCGCGTGTGTTTGTCTCCCCCCAGGTGACGGCCAGCGTGTACATCCCCTCTCAGGGCCGGCTGGTGTGCGGCAGAGAGGACGGCAGCATCATCCTGGTTCCCGCCACTCAGACGGCCATCGTTCAGCTGCTGCAGGGGGAGCACATGCTCAGGAGAGGTCAGGGAGGGAGGGGAGGGCTCTCTTTATAACTCAGTGTCACAAAGTCACAGCCATGCTAAATATTACACATTTTAATGATAATTATTGCCTTCAAATTATCTCTGAACCAAGTCCATTTTTCTATCTTCCAACCTAAAGTAGGGAAGAATTGGCTAAGATAGTTTTTTTTTTTCCAGATTTTAGTGTTATTGGGCATGACTTTGTATCCTTACACAGCCCCAAAGTTCTCATTTCTGAAAGATTTCAGAGATTCGAGCGTTACATGTTTGACACAGAATTAACATAAGGCAGCTTTGTGTCATTGTGAAGTTTACGGGGCTTAATGTTCAAAATCATTTCTACTTAGTTCCCTTACCCCAACAGTGTTTTACTGTGTGCTTAGATTTTAAAAAAAGTAAAAGATCACCTTCCATGCTTTTTCATGTGCATAGAAATACTTTACAACTTGCATTACAGGCACAGATAAATTTAATCCAGTTGACAGGAGATTGCGCGGGAAGCTGTAAACATGTGACGATTCGCTGAAAACAAAGTTTAGCTTTCACAGCATGAAACAACATGACACCAGGATGCCACCGGTGTTCAGGCTGTGGCCTCTCTGCCCCCCAGGCTGGCCGCCCCACCGGACCCTGCGCGGCCACCGGAACAAGGTGACCTGCGTGCTGTATCCCTACCAGATCTCCCCCCGCTACGACCAGCGCTCGCTGGTGTCGGGCGGCGTGGACTTCTCCGTCATCGTCTGGGACATTTTCACCGGGGAGATGAAGCACATCTTCTGCGTGCACGGGGGGGAGATCACTCAGCTCATCGTCCCGCCGGAGAACTGCAGCGTGAGCCGCGTTTGCTTTTTTTCTACTTGCTGACATTTGGCCCCGTTGTTGGTGTAAAGAAAGAAGCTCGAATTACTTTGAGTTGTTATGACTACGCACCTGTCACATTAGCCTTTTTAAAAAACGGCCGAAACACTGAGAAGATTTTCCGGACCGCTTGTATTCTTTCAGTGACATTAAGGTCAGAAGTGAGATGTGAGCCGTTGCCGGGGTTTTTAACCTAATGCTGCCGCACCGCTGATGCCGGATGATAATGACTGACCTGTCATTCACTGGCTTTGATAAAGACGCCGGATGTTTGAATGCCTTTCTTTTTACTTTTGGAAAAAAAATCTATGATGCCTTTAAATGAATGTCTGACATATTGCAAGTCATTTAGCCTCTGTTTTATTTCTAACCAGGTGTTTGTTTATGGTCCCAAACCGGGATGAACATTTCATATATATAAATATATAAAATTCAAATTAAGGGACGGTTAACATTTACGTGTTAACTGTTTCTTTCGCCGGGAAAAAAAAGGAAAATATCAAAATAATCTTTCGATGACGGCTGTCTTTATTGGCTGAAATAAGCCTTAAGTCTTAAAAATGAATGTTCCCTGCCTTTCTTTTCCTACATCATCCTATTTTTCCCCTCTCCCCGCAGACTCGGGTGCAGCACTGCGTCTGCTCGGTGGCCAGCGACCACTCGGTAGGCCTGCTCAGCCTGAGGGAGAGGAAGTGCATCATGCTGGCGTCCCGGCACCTCTTTCCCATCCAGGTCATCAAGTGGCGTCCGGCTGACGATTACCTGGTGGTCGGGTGTTCCGACGGCTCGGTCTACGTCTGGCAGATGGACACGGGTGAGATGAGACACAGCATGAAATTAGACTCATTGGAGCTGCTTCTGTGTCCTGTCAGGATGTTGTGAAGGAAGGGTTTATGGTTCTCTTATTCAGCTGTTTCTCTGACCACTTATTTATATATTTATATATTCATGTAGTATAAATGGGGCATGATACAACTTGTACAAGTATCTCTCATTCATGCCCGTCCTATGAGTTATCAGGCTCTCTCCAAAAGAAAAGTGACGGTTTCATGTTAAGAAATTTGCAAATTAACTTGTAAATGTATTCAGAAGAGCACCAGGTGTTAGGAATTCCCTTTCAAACACATTTGATCTTATGTCTTCATGAAAACAAACATTCCAGCAGGCTTTTTTAAATGTGTCTTACAGCTACTCACCAGCCTGTGCTCATATACATTTCATTTGACTTTCCATGAGTACTGCTTTTGCTGTCCATTTACATTTGTTTCCTAAAGAAAAAGTTCAACTCTGTTTGAGCCCATTTGAGAGATTAATGTAAGATTCAGTGAGTCCTGGCGTCTGAAACGGGGTGGAACCATTAGGTCAACCTATAGGAGAATCCTTCTTAGACACTATGTGCTGCTAATGGTTCCAGCTTGACCATTCATCAGCACTGACATGGCTTTTGGAGGCTATCGCCCAGACAACTGCATGTGCAGTAGGCATGTATATAGTAGAGCACAGAAGTAACATTAGCCTGAATGATGACAGGCCAGTGGAAAGACCTGCTCTTGTTGTGTACGTGTGAATCTGTGTGTTAGTAAATCTAAACGAATTGTAGTGTTGGGAGATTGCAGTGTAGCTAAGTGTGAAATTAAGGAAGGTGCGTACTCAGGCATTGAACCCGTAATGGGGCCATGGCTCACAGGCCCTTCATCACAAAACCCAGTTCTAATGGTGCCTCTTCTCCTCTCATTCAATACAAGCTGAATACTGATGTCAGCTCTGTCTGCGGCTAATGATGTCTCTAGAACGGGTTGAGAAATGCTGCAATCACAGATGGACAAGACCTCCACGACCTGAATCATATTCAAGAGACAGAAGATGCTGAGACTGAACATTATGCCAAACGGGAGTGAGAGATCTGGACTTGACTGAAAGAGACAGTAAAGGCACGAAGAAAAGAAAAGGGCTAGTAAAGGGGAGAAAGCGTGTGATGATAAGAGAGTAAATTTATAGGGAGATGAAAAGAACAGACAGAGAAAAAAGAGATAAAAGCAATAATGTTCCAGTTCATTCCGAATGTGCTGCGTAAAAAAAAACTGTCCCTTTGATCTTGACCATTTCTTAGCACAAAACAGGGTTTAGTTTCATGTGTGGTTTGTAGCTGGGTTATGTTTTTGTGCCCTCAGGGGCGTTGGATCGCTGCGTGATGGGAATCACGGCGGTGGAGATCCTGAACGCGTGCGACGAGCTGGCCCCGGCCACCGTGGACGCCCTCAGCCACTCGGCGGTCAACCTGAAGCAGGCCATGACCCGCCGCAGCCTGGCCGCGCTGAAGAACATGGCCCAGCACAAGCTGCAGACGCTGGCCACCAACCTGCTGGCCGCCGACAACGCTGACAAGGTACCGCCAAACTACTGCTGTCTGGTTAGCCAGTCCATGGTGTCGACCAGTGGAACACACACTAAACAAAGTGAAACACTGGATGCTTTCTCTGGTCACAGACACCTTTGTTAACTTATCAGAATCACAAATACTTTAATAATCCCAGAGGGAAATTATTTTTGTCACCAACTCTAGATATACAACAGCATATACATATCTATCTATCTATCTATCTATCCATCTATCCATCTATCCATCTATCCATCTATCCATCTATCCATCTATCCATCTATCCATCTATCCATCTATCTATCTATCTGTCTCTCTGTCTCTCTGTCTCTCTGTGTGTGTGTGTGTGTGTGTGTGTGTGTATGTATATATACACAACATTTCGCACAAAATATAAATAAATACATACATATGTATATGTGACAATATGTATATATACAGATCTAAAATAAGTGTTAATGATAGTGAGAAGAATAAATAAATGCCAATAAATTAGTAAGAATTGTCAAAATTAAACATTTAACTGTATAGAAAAAATTCTAAAACAATTTATTTTTCATACTGCAAATTAAAGGGACATTGTGTAGTACTTTAAGTATTTTATTAGCTGAAATCATTTTCCTAATTTCTAAATGTCCTCATTTGGTGTAAAATGACCTCTGCAATGATCTGACTTCTCCTCATAAGGAAGAATTTCCTATCTGTATATACACAGGACTGATAAGTCCACGGAGGTTTCCATGGCGATCCGCCATTTTGAAAAACTATAATCGCTGAGAGGGACATAAAGCACTAGTCGGCCTGTCTAGGTAATCCACAAGGCGTTTTCCTTCAGTCACCTGACTGAAACCTGCTCTGATAAGTGAGAGGCGCTGGCTTGCCACCTCTATGCTAGTCACCGCCCGGCCAATTGGAACGCTTGCATTGCACTTTGCAACCGAGGGTTACTGGAGGGTAACCCGAGAGAGAACTGGATGATGTGGAAGTCATGTTGTCATTATTTCTTGATGCCTGACGGTTACAGTGGTTGCAACACCCATTTGAAAACAGAGGCACTAGAGAGCAGATTTGTTAGAGAGCAAAATATTATTTCACCATTAGATGGGAAACATTACTACACCGTGTACCTTTAAAAGGTTAGTTCGGACAGGTGGGTAAAAACGACAAAAAAACTAAAAATAAGATAAAATAAATAATTAAAAAAAATAAATAAACCTGTGAAAGTCACAGAAAATATCTGTTACTACGTATTATCCATCATCTACAAATAAAACGGTCTAAAACTGTATTTCTGTCTCTATCATGTTCAACTAGAATAGACATTGCATTTGGCCCACCTGTGCACCTGTTCTGTCTTTCACACACAAACCCACCCCCACACACACACACACACACACACAAACCCACCCCCACGCACACACAAACCCACACACTGGTCATCACGGTCAGAGAGCTGGCCGAAGTTGGGGACCAATTAAGAGTCTGCTGGAGACAGACCAAAGGTCAGCAGAGCAGTCAGTGTGTATCTTTTGAAATGTGAACTGGCGTCTCCGGGGGAGGATCCTCTTAAATGTCATGATGATGAAATAGATTAATAAAAATTCTTTATCTGTGACAGCCTTGCATTGAACAGATCAATTATTTAAGAATCCTCCCAACTTCAGCAGAGTTCTTTCGGATCTGTTTCATTCAGTTTGTTAGCTGTCTGCTTTTGGTAGTTTCTGAAGTCTATATTTCTATAGCAGCCATAGACGAAGTCACCGCCATGCTAAATATTACAAAGTTTAAAAGTATTTAGTGCCTTCAGATTATCTCTGAACCAAGTCAATTTTTCTGTCTTCAAACCTAAAGTAGGGAGAATTGACTTAGATAGTTTTTTTTCAAGCTTTTAGTGTTATTGGGCATGACTTTGTATCCTCACACAGCCCCTAAATTCTCATTTCTGAAAGATTGTCGAGACATGTTTGACACAGAATTAACATAAGGCAGCTTTGTGTCATCCTGAGGTTTATGAGGCTTATTGTTCAACATAATTTCTACTTAGTTCATTTACCCCAGCCGTGTTTTACTGTGTGCTTAGATTTCTCTTTAGCAAAAGATCACAGGCTCACTTGTCATACTTGGATGGTTTGATCTGCCCTGACAGAGAAAACTGGGCCCACGTGGGCATGCCAGCTCAGAAAACATACTCTATGAATAATTTAGTGTTTGAACAGAGTTATGTTAACCTCAGACTTTTAGCCATTCACCATCACGGTGTTCTGTGAGGTTCCTGCTTATTTCTCCTCTTCGTCTACCCCGATGGCCGCAATCATCACGGCTCCTAAAACACACACCACACCTGTAATCTCTCATCTGTGTCCTGTTCTATTCAACAAGGATCACGGTTTTTTTTTCTTCCTCCCACCTCTGTCATCTTTACCTCTTATCAGTTCAGACTATTGCTCAAAACCACCCACAACTGTGTGTACCCGTGTGTGTGTGTGTGTGTGTTGTCCCCTGCTGTGTGTAATGATGGATAATAAGCATGAAATGTCAGACTATAAATCCAAACAATTCCTGTCAGCCATCCCCTAGACTCTAAATGTGTGTGTTTACAGCTGATGTTTGTTTGCTGCTCAGATTTCTGCGCGTGTGTTTGTGCGAGTGTATGTGGTGTGTGACTTTGAGCCTGTCCTCTGCTGAAAGCACCCATCTGTGAACGGATTTGTGCCATGGAGAGAAAGTGATAAAAACCTGCTCTGGAACTGTTGGTCAGTCAAAGTTTGTCAGCTCCATTCACTGGTTTGGGGATTCTTCTTAGCTCTGACTTGAATCAGGCTATACAAATAAAGTTAGATTTGTAAGAGCTTGTTCAGCTTATGTTTCAAACAGTTAATATGTTGTGGAGAACACTCATGGTGATTTTTATAGTAGGTTTTCATCTTACGAATAGGTTTTGTCTGTTGCAGATGTAGAGAAACAAAAGCAGGTTGCAAAAAGCCTCCACTAACACATCTGATCTGCTTGGATTTCTTATTAACTTATGTTTCCTAAACTGGTTTTAGTCTAATAACTCCAGAAAAAAGCTGCTTGTTGCCTCATAAAAAGATTTTGTAGTGATTTGTGCATGTCCTATTTTTTGCCCAGCCTTGTGAGTGCTCTGTAACTGGGCTTTGTGAGTGTGTGTCTCTGTGTTTGTTGGACTCCAGAGTTGTTTGCCTGAAGGGCCCTGCAGGGCAATGACCTTTTAGATCCTGTGAACTTGAAACTGTGTGTTTTCAGCGGTTTGTAAGATTTCTGGCGCAAAGATGCTGCTACTTTTTTTGCATTTTCAAACCAAATTGTCAGTATATTTCGCTGCGGTTCATAAAACCAGCCAACATTGGGAAATGCAGTCAATTCCCCAGCGCAATTGGATATGGATTTACTCTTGTTACTGTTTCCCTAAACGTGGCTATAAGACCCCGGCTCACAATAAGGCACATTCCTTTTTTAGCAGCCGTGATTTAAAAGCCACTTCAACTGAAAATCAGTCGAATCCGACCATATTTAACAAATATTTCACACATTTCACGCCCCACATTTTGTTTGCTGACCTAAATACACAGCAGACTTTTCTACATTTTACATCCTGTGGTTATTTTCAGGCTTGTATGACATTTTATTCATCTTAGGTTTTACTTTGGCCCGAAATAAACGTTGAATACATTTTTGATTTGATATCCAGTGTTAAAGTCTACGTACATGTGTGGGTAATGGAGACGTGTTCCTTTAGATGGCAGTGTTTCTCCACCATAAGGAGCCGGGCAAATCCACTCATGCTGAAACATGGGGTCAAGGCACAAACATCATTTTTGGAAATTAATGAAAGCAAGAAAAGGCTCTTAATATCTACCAGCTGACCACTGGCCAACTGTATTTAGGTGTAGTTACTACTAACGTGACCTAGAGATTGGATGGAGTGGAGTTCGGCTATGAGTAAAATATGAAATCAACAGAGAGCATAAGTAGGAAAACTGTTGTGAAAATACAAAGTACGTGTCAGTTTAGTTGCTTCGTGAAAAAAAATGGTGCCGTATAGTTTCCAGTAGCTGAGTCTTCTCCCCAGTTTGCACATGAGGGGTTTAACACAAACAGATCAATGCTGAGGGAGGACTTCACTGTCAAAGTTGGGATTTCGCTGGGGTATTTGCATCTGTATGCGTGTGTGTGTGTGTGTGTGTGTGTGTGTGTGCATGTGTGTCCCAGCTGCAGGTGCATTGTCTCCCTGTCAGACAGGAGTCTTTATGGTTAATCATTGTTTTCTTTCTGTGTCTGTCACAGAGTGCTAAATCATAAAAGGTCAGCATAATTGGTCCAGAAAAATTTCAATTTAGTTTTTAAAAGCACAAAAAATAGAAGAAAAAAAAACAAACAAACAATGAACACGTGTTTTTATCCTGAGCTAAATGACAGCTAGATGGACATCTAAAAACATGGAGCTTTGGAGCATTGCAGCTTCAGAGTGCTCCAGTCTTCTGGTTGGATGGGTTCTGCTGGTGTACAGCAACAGTAAAACAACTCCACAGATTCTCAATTGATCTTTGTTCTCCCATATTTAAATGTTTTCCCTAAAACACCCACCCAGCCTCCCCTTAAAAACATTTTAATGTTGCTTTAGCAGCATGCTGCAGGTCATAGTCCAGCTGGAGGCTGGACATATGTTTAGTGTTTAGACATAAAGGCTTCATTTTCAAATGTAAATCATTTAAATATTGTATGTAAAATGGAATTCTAGTTCTCAGGAACCAAAACAGATAAGCCAATTTACTATTTAGACATTTAAGGAATATGAAGGCATTCCACAAGGATAAAAATATTTGAGTGTTTTCTTGCTTCGATACACGGTGTACAATGGCGTCTTTGGACCCGTGCACGCTATCTGAACATTTGTTTCTTATGGACCACATGACTGTATAGTCTAGGATAGGTTTTCAAAACATGGAACGGCGCTTTAAAAATGGCTGAAGCTGCCCAAAAGACTTTCAGCTGATGGAGTTCAATTACAGCACTGGTTTGGAATCAGCCTTAAGTGAGGAACGGCAGCTTTTTAGAAATGGACTTTCTTAAGAGAAAGACTCATTTCAGTATATTACAAGAAATAATAGTGGTGTGCCTGTATTTAAACAGTTAAATGATTTGTTAGACATTGTGAAGGCAAACTCATTTTAGAGGGTTTTAGTTTTCCCCCCCCCCTCATTCTTTTGCTCTCATCACACTCTTGTCTTAAAAAAGGGGTTTAATTTCCCCTCTTGTCCTGTTCTATATCAGAATCAAACTCTGACAGGGCTATCTAATTTCAAACAACAGCTCATTAACATTAAAAGAACATCAGCTTTCTGCATATTGTCCTCTTTGGAGCAGTTAAGATCGAATCACGTTTGTGTTGGTGACAATTACAGCTGATGTGGTGTGTGTGTGTGTGTGTGTGTGTGATATGTCCCCCGTTCTTCCATTTCAGTTGACTCTTTCTTTAGTTTTTTACATTGATTTGTTGAAGTGAAGCTATGTTGTAACTAAAATCGCGTTGTACAGATAAGATTGGGGGCTACCCAAAGGTTTCTTCTACCCTTGTTTATGTGATATTTAACTAATTCATAATGTGTCTGCCAGGTGGCCAGATTAGCATTTAACAGGGGATCATGATTGTTTTTAATCCAATCATTTGTGGCACAATCCAAAAAGAAAATACTGGATCCTTCCTTCAAAAAGTCTAAATCACCTTTGAATTCAATCTTGACTAATCAACCCTTAAAAACATTTTCAATCCCCTTTTTTCTCAGGGCAACTTGCCGAAGTACTCCCACAACGCGCTGGTGGTCCAGGCCATGAAGACCAACCTGACAGACCCGGACATGCACGTGCTCTTCTTCGACGTGGAGGCCATGATCATCCAACTTCTGACGGAGGAGGCGCAAAGGCCCAACCCCACGCTGGTGTCTCCCGAGACGCTGCAGAAGAGCCAGGCCGGGGCCGACAAAGGGGGGTCCTTCCTGGCCAACAAAATCTTCAAACAGGTTTGAAAACACGCCCACAAGAGGAGAGTCACTCACAGCCATCAGCAGGTTTTAAAGCCAGCCCGGTAAAACGTTCTGATCTGTGAAAATTAGGTGAAGGAAACCATGAAGGAGACCATCAAGGAGCACCTGTTGGATGAGGACGAGGAGGAGGAGGAGGAGATGAGGAGACGAGAGGAGAAGTCCAAGTCTCTGAGTCTGCTGGAGTACAACCTGACCATGGACACGGCCAAGCTCTTCATGTCCTGTCTCCATGCCTGGGGCCTCAACGAACATCTGGATGGCATCTGCCTGGACAGACTGGGCATGCTCAGACCCCACTGTCCCATCTCCTTCGGCTTGATTTCCAGAGGAGGTCACATGTCGCTCATGCTGCCCACCTTTAAGGTAGTGATCTAGTCTAAATCTGAGCTAAATGAACCCATTCTGGAAGTGGGCCCGGAAAAACAAAGCAGGCCCGACTCTTTCTCCCAGTTTCTGACACCGACCCCCCGTCTTTTTCCCAGGAGTCCCTGCTGCGTCAGCTGTCCCTGGCCACCGGTCGGAGGCTGACCTTACCGGACATCGTGGGTAAAGGGACGTATGGCGTGTCGCGGGCCGTCACCACGCAGCACCTCCTGTCGGTCATCTCGCTGGCCAACACGCTGATGGGCATGACCAACGCCACCTTCGTTGGAGAGCACATGAAGAAAGCGCCGGCCAGGTAAATTGAATTGAATTGAATATACTTTATTGATCTCCAGGGAGAAATTGACTTCCAGTACACCCCGTAAAGAACACACAAACACCCAAATACGGCAATTTATTTCCTGAAAATTGTAAGTTGGAGTATTTTTTTAAAGCAAAATATCGCTTAATAAATATATGTTTGATGGGAAATCCACTTGTTGGCACAGAAAATGCCTCCAAGGTGAGAAACATGGGAAGTAGGCAGCTTTTTCTAACAAAGGGCCCCAGTGGGTCCAACTAGCCAACAGCCAATAGCTACAGCTGGTGGCTTCAGTCAAACCCATGAATCCTCTCCCTTCACTTAAACTGGTGTCCTTCCTCATCATTTTCAGTCAGAAATATCAGCGGCGTTTCTCAAATATTTTCCCAAAAGCGAAAAAACAACATTAGGATTAAGTTATTTCAGTTACTAAATACAAAACAACGTGTGAAGAATCTTAACCGAAGCTCCAAAAAGCAGAACCTGAATTCAAAGCACAGAACCAGAGACTCTTCTCACACAGATACACCAGAAGTTACAGGAATCCGAGCGGTTTGTGTGTGTCTGCGTGTGTGTGTGTGTGTGAGCTGATTGTTTAGTCTGTCTGAGCTTTCATTGTGCTGTGAAAGATTTAACACAGGGGTCGAGGACCTGCTCCTGTAACACCAGCACAACATTTCATCAACCCTGCTTCAAGGATAAACCTGCAGGGAGGATGTGTGAGGCAGAGAAGCTAACCCACCTAGAGAACCGCAAAGAGAGGCAGAGGAGGGAACAGAGAGAGAGACAGTTAAACATTTTAGCATCCTATAGGTTGATTATTTTTGTCAGATCCAGTGTTATTAGGCTGTAATTTAGCTAAAATGGCCGCACAGACATGGTTATCGGTCCACCTTTTGGTGTTTTTGAGTAAATCAACTTAGTAAATCTACTATGTTCTGCGTCCTCACACTGTCATTGATGTAACTTTGACACTTTTACCTGCCTAAACCTTCCTGCCGGCCACTGGCAGCCACCCTGTGGCTGCGGCTACCCACGAGGCCTCACTAAGGATGCTTAGGGAATCCAAAATGTTCATTTGGCCGCTGCTGTCCCCAGAGGCCAGACTGATGGGATTTGATGGCATTTGTGGGGAGCAGACCTAATCCACAAATATCCCCAACCCTCCACACACACTACCCTAAGGGTCTTCTGCTAACTTTCCAGCACAAACACACTCCTGTACACACTCCTTTTTAAAAGCCCGGACAAGTCGAAGCTCTTTTGGTAGCATGAGGCTAGGCGTGTGAGCATAATATCATAGCTGATCAACATGTAGGACTTGTTAGACTGAGATAAAAATGGGCATTTTTTGGGAAAGTCTCCAAAATTATGTTTAGAATGTCAGGAATGTCTCAGTAAATCTGAAGTGGACCAAAACCGTCTCATCTCAAACCAAGGTAACAAGTCTAGTTGCCTTCTATTAAAGCAGATTGAATTACTGTGACCTGGATTATTGAGTCAACACTGACTTAAAGCCACAATAATATTTCTTCATGTCGTTTCATTCTTTATCAGACATTGAAGTCTGCATGTCATCAAAGTTGGGGAGTTGTGTCTCTAATGTCTATCGCAAACGGACAAAAGAAAAGAACAAAAGACCTAATGATCAGACAGAACACATAGGACCAGCGCTTTCCAAAGCTGTTTACAACTTCCCCCACACCAAAGAACTTTTTGTTCTGCGCGTTGCTTAAATCAGAGCGGCTACATTTTCCACGTCCATACAGACGCGAGCTGCAGGCCTCTTGATTAAAGTCAAACATCTTCTCTCTGGCTGTTTCCACTTCAACACTCCAAAGCAGAACTTGTTGAATATTTGACAATGTTTTGGTTTTTGGCTTTTTCATGTATCCCCCCCATCTTAGATTTATAACGGTGGAAAAAAGTTCCTGTGAGGTACATCTGAACTACTAATGCGTTAGTGTTTGATCAGGATGCGCCGCTACTTTTTGCCCCTCCTAAACACCTCCAGATAAGATCAGGAAAAACACATTTACATCACATTTTAAAATACGATTCTCTTTATTTCTCCCCATGCTTTCAAGGCAATCGGCCCATTTTCAGGACCACCAGTGTTGGAGCCACCTGGCTTTTTTTGATGCACGCCTTAATCTAAAATGATTTCCTTTAGAAGAAATTTGTGATGCAGATCAAGTAAAGATGTAACTTTTTTAAAGATGAAGCTTGAGGTGGCACAAAAAAAAAATCTATTCACACTCAAGCTTTACTTTCCAATAAAATGCATTTACTGTTTGTATCTCTTCTTTTTATTTGAATGTATTAAGTTGAACTTTTGCCAGTGAAGATATCTGGGAGCATTCGACCCATAACGTCCAACTGCCGTAAAAGTAGTTGTTAATCAAATTTAAAGGTGACATTTACCTTTTTATGCGCACTTGAAACGAATTGCTCTTACTTAAATGGACAAGTTCAGATTTTATTTCGATAGGAGACCCGTTTTCATGCAGGTAGAAAAAGCGTGAATGAGCAAACATTATGAGCTGCAGCCACATGTGGAATTAAGGTCTTTTAGTCTGATGGAAGTTGGTTTCATGTAGAGTCTGAGGGGACCCGTTGGAATTAAAAATACAACCTTATTTTTAGTGAATGTCCAACCTATAGCTGTACAAGAACATTCAGATATGAGAGGTAGCCATGTTATTGTCCCCTGGAGATAATATACTCATGCCCTCGTTTACGGCATATATTTTTCTTTTAAATTGAAAACCTCAAAAAACAGCCATCCGAGCTTATTTGGTTGCTTTTACGTTGACATATCCTTGAAAAAGATTCCACATATGTGTCACGTTTCCGGATTGGTCTCTTGGCAGTTGTTTTTTTTTTTTCGGCGTCTTTCCTTGCATGCGATGCAGAGAAAAGAAAGAAAGGCGTGCGTCTGTCAGGGGGTGGTGGGGCAAAGGGAGGACAGGCAGGTGCGCTCGTTTCCTGTTGTTCTGAAAGAGCCTCGCTGGATCTTTTCTTTACTGCCTCTCTCTGTGTGTGTGTGTGCGTGTGTGTGTGTGTGTGTGAAGTGATTCCGACAGAAAAGCGTGAAGTAAATGGTCAGACTCTCAAACACTAGCCACAAAAATCTGCATTTTGCATGTTTTTTTTACAGACTTCTGGGGTCCGTCCCAACGAGTCTGAGATGTTTTCTTTTTTTTTTGTGACCGGTGGTGATCGTCTGGATATAACTGACTCAGGCATTTAGAGATATGCTGCAGAATTTTTGTTTTTGGGGGTTTCTCTTCATCTTAAAATAGCGCTTTCTCCTCTTAAAGACTGTGACCTCTGTTTCTGTGAATTAGGATTTTTTTTTGGTGCTTTTTTTTTTAGTTTTGTGCTTTTTTCCCCTTTTTTTTTGGGAGACCGCCGATCACCCTGCAAGTGATTGGTTGCCAGGCAACCTTTATCGATCATTCCATTGATTGTTGTATTGGAAGTGTTTGTGTGTCTCCGAAAGTTAGGCGCCTCCAGTCTGTTCGGGGAGGACTGTGTCCTCCAACCAAAATTCAATAGGCTGGAGCCTGACAAAAAAAACACACACAAAGACTCACACGTAGCCACACACTAATTAAGGCACACATTTAAAAGAGCAACTTTTTAATTAGCATTCAGGACATGAAATACTGTTCATTTCCAGGCCTGATTTATTTTTTTCTGCTTATGTTTCTGTCTTTGAATAGAATTTTCAGACTCTCTTTGGTTGTGTGTGTGTGTTTCTGTGACTGTGTGTGTTTGTACCGGCCCTCCTCTCTCCTCCCTGCCCCTTTTTAATATTTGATGTCTCCTCTTTGTGATCCTCCTCCAGGCCTCCCAGACCAGGAGGAACCCCGGAGACTCCTCGGAGGACGCCCGCCGCCCCCCCCCAGCCCTCCAACCCGGCGCTACAGGCTCAGATCAAACAAGGTAACTACAAAAGGAGGAGGCGCTCGCCTCAAATACCCCAGGGGCACCC